ATGAGGATAAACTTCCACAGTGTCTTCTTTGACTGTGTGTCCAGTATCATGGAGATTTGGTGGTAGAAATCCACTACATTTCTTAAAAGTAAAGCATTTACATGTACATACTGCCAATGCCCCTACCACTTAATGCTCCTAGGTTTTAATGAACATCAAAAATTTAGACTCCATTCTCATCAATTTTGTAAAAGTGATGCATAAAACTCTTACAATGTTCAGGCAACAAACTTTAGTTGTTGAAGTATTTTTTTATATTTATAAAGGAGGTGATTTTTAGTACAAACCTGGATGTATCATACTGTATCATTGCTTTTCTCATGTGAGATCTCTCCTTGGATGTCAGCAAATATTCGGCCTGCAACAGATTTAATTAGTAAACTATAAACTTACACAAATAAATAATTACACTTATAAGAGTTACGACATGGTAGTTTCTCTTGCAATTCAAATGTAATATCTACTCACATGGTTTTTGAAGGACTTTCCGCTGCTGTCAATCATTTCTTTGCCGTCTGCTTTCATCCACTGAGAGGAGGCGTGGCTCGAGATGGAGGAGAGAGACATTGTGGACATACTGAGTGTACTCAGACCTTCTGTAAATAAGAACAAACAATTGATATACTGAGTGTACTCAGACTTTCTGAAAATCAAAAACAAGCAAATGATGTTTGTGAAACAATTAGCCCCCCCCCCCCCACCTACCCCATCCCCGGACATACAAGCTAAGAAAATGAACAGAAATTGCAAATAATTTGAATGTTTCTAAGTCCAGGGGGCATAAATCTGTCAAAAATTGCTCAATCTTATCCAAAACAAATGACTTAGATATTCTTATAAAAAATTTCATTTCAGTACGTACTAACTCTGCAAAGAAAATGAACAGAAACTGTTGGTACACCGACAGACAGACAGATCGACCAACAGAGAGATCAATCGATAGACAGGAGGAGGGCATAACAATTAATTAAGACAAACTGGATGTGTACTCAGACCTTCTAAAAATAAATGAAAATAAAGTGTATCTTTTTATATAATAGTTAATATTTTCTACATCTATAATCTTTCTTTCTTCAGAACAGAGAAGCATAATAAGATGTGGAAAATGCTTAAAATCAAACACAATATATAACTGGAGTTGAAAGGATCATAGAAGGAAAGGAGTACACACTTGAGTTTTTATTGAGAGACATGTAAACTGAACTTTAAAATATTGAATTTTAAGTACAGTACCATTTCTCTGAGTTCTGAGAACCTCAATCTCTGGGGACGATCCACTGTCCTGAAGTAACTGTACCAAGTGTGCATGTGTACACCTCCTACAAAATCGATACATATATATACTCAATCAGCAATTACTGGCTAGTCCTATAGACTATAGTCATTAAGTTCACATAACCTGAAATGTTCATTAATCAAGAATCAGAATTCTAATGGAGACATTGTGTAGCATGTTAGCAATAATGTACCTATAGGTGAGGAATATTGCTAATAAATTGATATAGATGCAATCTACTCATAAATGTCATCTCCATACCAGCTAGTTAGTTATGAAAAGTTCAATGTCTCATGCAATACTTTTTCATAATTTGCAAGAAAATATCTTAAGGAAAAATTTTATCCTAACACATTTTTATAATTAGTATTTGTACAATGTATTAATTATTTATAGTTTATTTTTTCTCTTTCTTAACACTTGAACTTCATGTCAAAGGATAACTCTCTCATATTTCCTCTTAGGTAATATTTAAGTAAGTAAGTAATTTGTGTAAGCTTAATTGTACACCCTTGTTGCTGGGAATGATTAAGCATGTGAGTGAACTGCACAAGGAACAAATGTAAATTTTTACCTGACATCGATGTTATTGAGCTTCAGAATCACGTCCCCGGCCCGAAGCCCCGCCTTATCAGCCGGTCCCATAGGGTCCACCGACTCAATACACACAGGGTTGTTTCCCTTTATCACAAAGCCAAAGCTACCTCCCTCTCGAAAGACTTGGATTACTCTGAAAAGACATTTTATATAATGAAAAAAAAACCTGCTATTTGAAATGTATACTCAAAGTAGAAAAAGATAATATCTTTCTGTATATAAATGTACAGTGAAACTTGTCTAATCTGAATGTTGTGAATTCCAAAATCTTGCAAATTTCAGTGAAAGGGATCAGTGGTATCTGAATGAGTCAGATATTACTGTATCACAATATATACAGTAAAACTCCATTATAGCAAAGTCCTGGGGACCTGTGAATTTAATTCGCTATATCCGTAATTCATTATATCCGTATAACGAATTTGTATAACCATTTTAGCGAATTCGCAATATGCATGTTTTCCTTCAAGTGTTACTATCAAATATCTTAGGGAAGCAAATATTACAAAACATACCTTCGATAACTAAGGTTTTATTATGAATTGAATTTTATATACAAATGCTGAAAGAAAATAAAGTCAGTTCAATTTATCAAATTTTGAGATCTTTGAAAGTTCGTTATAAAAGATGTAAATTTCATTATATTTAACCACAACGGGACTTAAAATCAGTTCGCTATATCCGTAAATTCGTTATATCAGAGTTCGTTATAACCGTAAAATTTTACAAAGATTTGTTAAGAATTTTGCCGGGGACCCAGAAAAACTTCGTTATATCCGTGAATTCGCTATATCCGTGTTCGTACTAAACAAGTTTTACTGTAATATGAATAAAATACCTTTCAGTGGTAAAAGATTTTTTCCACTTGGGATAACTTAATGATGATAGCATCGTGATAGAGATGTCTGGGTCATAACAAACTTCATCATATCACAAACCAACTGAATCTTCAGTATTTCATTTCATATATCTTAGCAATTATGTCAAACAATCCCTTGAGCTTGTGAAAAGGAAATAGATCTTTATTAAACTGTTTTACCTTCTGTCTGTGTGAGCATGATCAAATTTGGAGGCCTCTTCATCAAAATTGATCATATTTGCTCTTTGATATTTATGGAATTCATCAAATCTTGCTCTTTGCTTGGGAGGAATAAATTGCCTGCAAGATAACAAAGCAGATTGTGCAGCACAACAATTCAAAAGCATTTCCTATTATTTTCTTTGGAAACAACAGAAACATTTTTCTTCAAGGTTATTACTGAATACTGATTTAATAAAGGAAAATGCCTCTCATATGTCTTTTTATTGTGTATCTATATCAAGTTCCTGAAATTCCAGAAATAATTAACATTTTATAGAAATGAGTTATTAACTTAACATGGTCTATCATTCAGCCATCTGAATATACACTATAATATATTCTTTTATAACTAAATTTTTAAATGCTTAGATCAAGCAATATAAGGATCGGTTTGTTAGGAATGATTTTAAGTAAACTGAATTTTTTTTACTCAACATGGTATAATTTACAGAGTAAATACTGGTGTTATTCATATATCCATTTTAATTTTTGTTTTAAGAATCTTATGCAAAATGTTACAGTTTTATGGAAGAATAAAGTGCCACGCCACAGCATGATACGCCCGTCAAAAAATAACAATTACAATGTATCTTAAACAGTTAAAAGTACAGGAAAATCATGTCAACCTTGATTTTAAGATTTCAATGATTTTTACACTCCTTAAAAAATTTGTTTATCCATCTCCTGTGGTGTAGGCATTAATTATAACAAATATTGCATCATTCATAGATTTCTATACTAGTTAGACCTTAATTGCCAAATGCCTATCATATTTAACAATATCAAATTAGTCTTCACAACTTAATCTATAGTCTATACCTAATTAATTTTGGAAATAAAAGGATGGCCATCAATTATAAACTGACCAACAGTTCTTCTGTCTAATTCCCGAAGGATACAGATAAGACCATGCTCTGAAGAAATGAAAGAGCTACATTGAACACATTAATTAATCTTTAACTGGATGCTTGTCTACTCATTACTCCCAAAAGATTATTGGATCTGCACTATCTACCATACATATAAAACATCAATGATTTTTTTTTTAGGTTTATTTTAATGTCAGATAGTTTTTAATATACAATTCATATGGACATGCTGATTCCACCACTACCCCCATAAAATTAGTTTTTAAGTTCATAATATTATGTAATATCAAAATAGTTTAATAAGCAATATCAAATTAGTTTTAATTACTTCTCATCAAATTAATTTTAAAACTTAGGCTAGCCAACAAGATCTATTTTTAATCCAACAGGCTTACCCATTTGGCCCAATACTCAAGGGATATAGATGGCACAGATGCTCTGACAGCTACTCCTCACACTAAACTCATCAATTTTTCTCTCTAATTTGACATGCAATTTTCTGTAATCAAAATTCTTCTTGACCAGTGCTTGATAATTAGACTCATAGGAGTGGTGGAATTTCTCTAGCATACATTATATTTGTTATAGATTGCTGTCAAATATATGCTTAAAAAAATAAGTATTTTCTTGATTTAACATTTTTCTAATAAGGTTAGTGCAGTAGTTTTACATTTTTTTGAATGTGTAAATGAATAGAAAAAAATACATTTTTTTTTAAATTTCACTTAAATTAAAGGTCACAGTGACCTTGAAATAGGTCGCGACACACCTTCTACCTAAGATGCATAAACTGGCCAAGTTTGATGATTCTAAGTCTAATAGTTTTCTAGTTATGGACCGGACAGGATTTTTCCATATTTGGCTATAACTTTTTAATTATAGGTCAGAGCGACCTACTTTTTGTGCGTGACACACCTTCTACCCAAGATGTATCAGCTGACAAAGTTTGATAACTCTAGGCCTTATAGTATTAAAGTTATGAGCCGGACAGGAGAAAAGCTAACAGACGGACAGACAGACAGACAGACAGACGGACGGACATGAAGCCTATAACATAATACGTCCCGTCTTAAGGCGGGCGTATAAAAAGTGCTCCTTTTTTCTGACTCATGATAAATTTGCCAGTTTTCATCTGTTTTAAGGTAAATGTTGCAAGATTTTGTTCACTAAAATATTAAAAAATAATTTCCAAAATACAACAGACCTCAACCAAATTGTATTAACTATTCATTAAAAAAATTGACTTAATTGGAAGAAAAGTGTACCCTTTCTAAGATCCTCAACACACCTCTCTTTACAGTAATCTGGAAATGGCCCTGTTTAACAAATGGATCTCTTTTTCTGTAAGATTACTTGGGGTTTAAGGGGAAGTCATAAGTTTTTTTACTGAAGTCAACAAAAACTGAAACCCCCTGTAAGGTACAGTACAAGAAAATAGTCTAAAAAATTCATGAAGCATAAAATGATGATTGACTGATCTACAGTGTTTCTGTTTTCTTTTAAAACCAAGGGTCATTACGACCCTTTGAAGTAGGGATGGGTATCGCCAAAAATTTCGTATCAAAATATATCACGAATTTTCCCCACAATATCATGATAATATCACGATATTTTTAAAAGCAGTTTTTACAATGATTTTATATGAAAATTCATTATTTTTCTAAAAAATAAGCTAGAAAAACAAAATTTTACTTTCTTGAAATTTTTATGTATGTAAAATCAATTATGTTTGGATGGTACAATGCCGTTCTTTTCACTTTTTACACCATTTTTTATACTTTCTGTAATTGTAATTTGAAAGATTGAACAAATAAATGAATAATTTCTGGACTTTATAATATGTACCTAAAGACCGGTATTTAGTCTCCATATCACGATATGTATCACGAAACAAAAAATCGCACATCCCTACTTTGAAGTAAACTTTTTTAAGTCAAAAAGATTTTTTGAGGGTCAAAATATATTCTGGTTTTGCTTTCAGTTCTTATATTAGCTCATTTATGCTGCATTTTTTTCCCTAATCACTGATGGGAATGCAATAGTCAATGGAAAAAAATCCTTGACTACAGGGACAACTAGGAGTTGTCTAAACTGTCTAAAATATACTTCTAGTCATTCTATTGATACCTGATTTGCTGTATTATCCCTGTCTGTCTGGGGGTCTTGAGAATGGCGGCCAGAGCTCGGGCCAGCATGTCCACATCCCGGTCCTCCGCGTACTGTTTTAACACACTGACCACCGCCATTTTCTTCTCGTAGTCATTCCCTAGAATCTCGTTCATCTGTGTGAAGTGAACACATAATATATCAATATGTACAGTATAGATGGGGAGATAGACCTGCTGTTTAATGAATGGAATCAGTGCCATATCCACTTCATTAAAACGCACTAATGCACCATATGATCTTTAATTAGCAACAATGGATCCAGGAAAGTTAAATTCTTCTGAATTTTCCCATCCGACATATTTTATGGGTTTGATGTACACATCTTTTTTTAACAGAAGTACACATTTCAAAACTTATTTATTGCCTTGGAAACCCCCTTTATAACATTCTGCAAATTATTATCATCGAAAACTTCAATGGTATATTGTTGATTGGTTCTCTTGCCAATGTCCCTTGACAGTAATCCATACGGAAACAAGCCTTAGTTAACACAATGACCAGTGTTCCGATGGCACTGGAATGAATCAAATTCTACAGTTAAAGGACAAATGAAGTGTAGAGCCCCCAGCACAATCATGAGTCTTGGGACACAAAAATGTTTTGTTCCTCCACTAATGTATAAACATGCCAATGGCCGATCTAAAGCAATTTTGTTCTTGTTCGAAATAAAACTGCACATAAACTTGGAAAATCCAATTAGTTTGATTAATTTTCCTGGCTAGAATAATATTGAATTATTAGGCAACAGTGGAAGTGAATACAATCATCGCAGCCATTAAATGCTCTTAGCTCCTTTAATTGAAACAGACTCCACAACTACTGCAGTAAGCATGTAAAGCATGCAGGTCTACAGCTTCATTTTTAACTGTTCATTAAGCATTAATTGTTCATCTTTTGAAATATTATTTATATACTCAAAAATGTGTTCTTTATTCTGTTTACAACAAAACCACTTTTTTGGCCTTGTTATTCCATATCTAATAATCTAAGTCAGTTGGTAAAGGTGTAGTTCTGCACATTCAAGAAATGTTTTTAATTTTAAGATAGAAATAAACCATTCATCAGCTTTGCTCTCCCTGGCCCCTTTGACTCTGCTAATTCAATTTCTTTCACTCTAAATTGTTACACAGCAGCTTTTGCAGAAAACTTCACTTTCACCTGTATAGCCTCAGTACTTGTAAACTAATAAAGAAATCTCAAAGCCAGGTATGAGCAACATCAGAACATTGATTACATCTAGGTTTTCTTTATGGCCTACACTTCTTGTAAAATAAATGAACTTGGTTCCCCCTGGGAGAAGTAGCTATTGATCTAGGCCAACATTCTTCTTATATACAGTGCTTCTAAGTATTGGAAGCATAATTTTCCACGCGGAATGTGATTTTTTGACTTGACACATGTCAAGGTGTTTTGTTACTCAGTTGTTTGTACTTTCTGAGAAATATATTCTGAAAGAATTTATTTCCATGATTTCTGTAAGGGATACAAAATGATTTTTTTTTTACTTCAAAATTGCTAGAGGTGTAAGAAAATAGAAGAAAATCAACCATGCATAATGACTTCACTGGGTGTATAAATTATGAATGGTTGATTTTTTTCCCTTCCCCATAACAAATTCTCATATTTATTGATATTTACACTTCTACAAATTTTACCCCCCAAAGTGACCAGCTGTTATCCATCTTCTTTGTAATCATTGATTTCTCCCTCCTATTTGAAGTACTTTACATTCATTTATTCTTTTCAGATCTGTTAGCTTTTAATGGGAAACAGAACAACATTTGGTATGTAATTAAATAAATATAAAAATCAATAATGCATGGCATATTAGATCATTATCAATGAAGCACCATAATTTCTCCATACATTCTTGTGAATTTTTGAAATGGCTTTTTTTCCTCCCTAAATCCCCTATTTTTTTTTTTTTTTTTTACAAAAAGGAAGCACACTTTTCAATCTTTTTTTTATTCATTTTAATTTTGAATTCAGATTTTTGTTTTGGAGAGGGTAATGGAGAGGGGTCATTTGTTTTTATCCAAAATATTTTTAAATATCTAAAAACTCAAACTTTTTTTTGTTGGGGGGGGGGGGATGAAAAATAAACACATTTCTTTTTCCAGTTCTAAACCTTTCATGATTAATCATGAAGAGTCCCTACCTTATCATGAAAAATTCTTACCCTATCATGAAGGGCCTTGGCTCTTTTGACTCTCCCCCACTCTCCAGCCGAATTTTGAGCCTGGACATTCCTTCTGGCTACCCGTTTATATTCTTTCCTTCTACCTGTTGGTATAATGCTGATGGAGAGACGTCTTAGTCTTCCAGTTAGGAAAGGCCTAATGTCCTCTTGTTTCCTGATTGAAAAACCATTGATTTCCAAAAGGACATCACCTGTTTTTGTTCAAGAATATTTAACATATACTAGAATAGTAAAGCTTTACATTACAACATGTGCAGGAGATATAATCATTTTCTCCCCTATAGTAAAATAATTGCCTCAAACATTTGATATTTCAACTTTACCAAAAATATGAAAAAAATTTGGATCAGACTATCTTCAAGAAAAAATGTTTGTCCTCTTCAAACTGACTGATTTAAGTTTTCTTCTTATTCCTAAATTTTTCAACCTCCATTGGACATCGAAATTTTCTGAAATTTTTTTTTTCTCAAAATACTAATCTAATTTTTTATCCTAAGAAGAGGACAAACAATATCATTTTAAACATGGTCCCATGTACATTTACTTGACAGCTATGTATACCTGGTTTGATGCCGGCTTGATGAGCTGGCCCTGATAATTCCACATTTTTCACTCGGACAGGTTTATTTCCTTGAACATCAAATCCACATCCTGAAACTCTGGTGCACACTAACTCTACCTGCTGTAGTCTCGTTACCACTCCCAAGACGGGGGGCTGTGACCGACTGTGCTTAGCCAGGGACTTGAGAGTCGTAGCCGAAGCATTCGTGACATCTTCTCCATCTAATTCGATGATTTCATCTCCTGGGGAGAGGCCAGCATTGTAGGCAATGCTTCCTTTGGCTACACTTAAAATATATGATGGACCTTCACCAAATATATCAAATCCACAAGATTTAGGCCATTTGTGTGACATCCTTAAAGGCATGATGGTAATTGTCATAATGTGTTCGCAGCATGTACGTAGAGGTAGTGTTTATTAGGTTTATCACTTTTCCATAATCCTTTTTCAAATCCTGTAAATAAAATTCTAATTTTATTACTTTCATTTTTGTTATATCATGAAAATATATTATAAGTTTTATTTAATTTGAATTAAAAGTTATACAGTGTTAATAACAATTAAAATTTAATTATTTAACTAAATTTAAAAAATAATAATTTATCCATGACACTGGTGATATGTGTAAAAAACACGTTTTTTTTTAAACATACATAATAGCACAATACCTTATCTTTAATTAATTAATTTAAAAAACAAAAACGTGTAGTAAATATTTTATTTCCCCATTACCTTTTAAATACATGAAACATCCCTTTCTGATAAGCACATCTTGCAGCGGACAGCTGTAAATTACACTCGATAGATCCCAACCTAGCCCACTGCTAGGCCTCATTGCGTCTCATCCTTCTCCTCTGTATAACATATAAAACTCATGGCCAATACCCTGATATTGATCCATCAAGACCATGTTTTTGTTATTGAACATTGATATGTTGACACCTAGGCGCTAATTTGGTTTTCGCAGTTTCCCGCCATAGGAAAATGAAGACGCATAGTTAACTCGTACCAAGTTATTTCAATTTAATTTTTCCCCCTTTTATTTTAATTATTTAAAAAAAATAGTGTAAAATAGAGCAATCAAAATCAAAACATTCATCTGCCATGCCTTTTTTTTTCATTGTTAGGAAGAAGCAATATATTCAACATTATTTTCACAATTTGCAAATTTTCTTTCTTTCTTCATGTCTCTATTTTTCTTCCCTCATGTTCATTTGTGTTTAAAATACTCCCAAATAAATAGGAAGAATGAATAAATCACCCCGATACCAAACAACACA